CACCAATTTCCACCATAGCCAAAAATCATCAATATCTATTTCTAATGCGATTTCAAACGCACGGCGTACACCACAGCGGCCGATTGAGACAAATCAGCTGATCCGCTTACTTTACCATATGCATATATGGCATGTTCGTATAAGCATATTGTATTGCAAGCTGGCAGCAACCACTCAAATTTCAGTGAATCAACGAGGTGATTCATTCACGACGCCTCCTCCGAAGTCACGCATTCTTATCGATCCGCTTCACTGTGCTATCGATCAGACGACGTTTCCCATTTCTAGTGAATTTCAGTAGCTGTTTCTTTCATTGTGGTTATTGGCGTTTTACTAGTAACGAGCTTGCCCAAAGTGTTGATTCGCCTCATTTCAGCTTGTGAGTTTTCATAGAGTTGCGATGCTTCTTGATAACGAACATCTGTAAAAGTCGCCAAACATATCAAGAAAAAACAACTATGTGCTCCCAATCTAGCGTGTGGAGTTGGAGGCTCAAATCGGTTCTGTGATTCCTCCTATTCTTACCTCACTCTCTTGTACGAAGGCGCTTAGTAGGGACAAATTTTAAAAAGGCGATGCATAAGAACTTGAAAAGTTGAGCCTAAATCACGCACAATCATTACGACAAAGTGGGTCCACAACAGGGATCTACCACGGGAAGGGTATGCATCCGTGGAAACGATAGCCAGATCACAATGGAAGCGATATCTGGCTTTTGCGGCAAGTGATTAACTATTTGCAGTTAGGCTAATTGCCCAAAACCACACTACCCCAACACCGTTCCGTTGCAACTGAGCTTTTGCGGTGCTGTTGCGATTGTCGACCAATTTTCATGTCACAGTTACATTTGTCTGAACAGCTGTACCTTCTTCTTGCCCTCTCTTATACTCCACCGAAATGCCACCTCAGCCAAACGACCAGAATCTAAGCCGTAAACTCGTCCGAAATCAGCGAACAAAGTAAAAGCTTCATTCTCCTGGTTTTGGCGATTCTTCCCCATTTACTCCTCATCACGGCATCATTTGACACTTCTGCATCAACATCGAATTGTTGTATCCGCTATTTTTAAGCTGTTGCTCCTTGTGCACTAACACACTCGATATGGCACTCTGACTGCTTTTTTCTGGCAATACTACATCAAAGTTGACCCCTGAATGATAGCGGGATTCGCGTGTTGTGACGTTTGAGAGTGCTTAGGCAATTTTCTTCATCCCACGTCCGGAAGAGCTGTACTGACACTCAGATTAATACGAGTGGCGCGCTGGGGATAAACAGAAAGCTAAATCGTGTTCACGTTTGATTAAGATTTTTTTACAAAGATTGCCCCAGCCATAAAAAATCAGCTCGCATCTTCTTGAATAAAATACGTATGGAATTAAATGCACGCCGGTCCTCCTGAATGTGCTCGGCATGCACATGTTCCAGAGATTCAGCAAGCATCTATGACCTCATTGATGGCTCCAGAAGGCACCATTATTCTTGCTACAGTATGTGCCTTTCTTCATAATCTTGAAGGAATCGTTCACGGAAAACCTTGCTTCTATCCTCATCAGAAATCGAGACCATATCCCCTTGCTTCACGAAGATATCTGAAAGAATGGAACATTAGCATTACTGCCTTCCACACTCATTCAAATAACTGCAAAAATTTTTGAATTCCCGCGTAAAACTGTCACAACTGTTGGCGGCGTGCAGCCAATAAGTGTGTTTGAAAATGTAAACGTGAGCGGATTTGACATTGGACCTACCCAGAAGCCTACACGTGGCCACACATCTTCCATGCACTTCGTCACAGGAGCCATTCCGGTCCCGCTGTGACGATCCTCTGCATATGCGGATTTTCGACAAGCTGTTTCACTTGAAGATTTAAATCTTTTTCGATAATACGCGAGGTTCATTATGAACATACATACGAGGAAAGGATGAAACAGTCCGCGTGAGATACCTTTTAAGCTCAAATCGCCAACTTTTTTGTTTCCTAGAGAATATTATAGAACACTTTTTAAGTTTGAGTTCTGTCTTTCCGGACCATTAGTGAGCGGTGAACCAATCAACACTGCCAAGAAATAATGACGATAACTCTTGAATCCACCTTCTATAGAACTTCATAAAACTGTGGTTTTTGTAATTTTAGGCCACTTCTCCATCGGCTGCCGTTTCAACGACTTCGAAAAATCCATAATTCATTGTCATCGCGCTGAAATCCGATCCGGTGACGTCACGCTCTGCTCAGTGGATACTCAGGTCGAAGGATTCGGTCAGCTGGAGCGAGCCGTCGTCCCTACCTGCGTCCGTACATTTGCATATCGAATCGCTTATGTCAACAGTGTGTGTCTCGCCGCTCGTCACTATAGTCATGCTCCAGTCGACTGGAAGCTGCAGCACCTCTTGTCCCACTTAGCTTCACTCTTACGGCCGGAGCATACTAATGCCGACAGAACGAGAAACAACATGATCTGGTTTGGTTTCCTGTGGTACCGTGGCAATCTTGTTCTTTCAATATATAATAGATATATATCTTTGAAATATCTGCTTCAAGAACAGCCAGTCTTCCTTGATATTTACTTGCTCCTTCAGCAAGTGTTCCCTTTCTAGTTCCGCTCTACTTACAATTAGACTCACCTCAGCCAGCTTCTGTGTGATAGTGATCCGCCCTTCTAGAGGGACGACGGCCTTATCAGCTGATTAAATGCATTCCGCCTAGTCTTCTTATGTGCTCTGCTTCTTCGTGATTCGATCGATATTTGCATTAATTCGAAATACATGTTCAGGCTTCGCATTTCTCGTACTTGTTCGTCTACCTTTTTTCTTTCTAACCCCGCATCAGACGTGGTTCCTCGAATGTGGCCGAACTGTCTTGGCTCATAGGTCAAGTCTCTTTGCATAATAATTGCTCAAGACCACTGCCTCCCTGCTATTGCAACGACTTTAATTGGTCAAAAGAGATAGACGTTGTTCAATTCCTCAGTTATAAGCCCCAGATGACCGTTAAAGGCACACCTACGATCAGGCTGGTGGATTATTGCACATGAAAATGGAAGCGTTAGCACAAATCGAATCGGTAGAGAGGAAAAGTGAAGTGAGCCTGTCGAAGAGCTAAACTGACAGCTTCTTTTTTTGTTATTCGACCGTGCTAGGACATGAGACATTCCATAGTTGAGAGCAATGAGAGCAGAAAATAGGACAGGCTAGCGGTCACAAGGTCTTGGAAGACTTAGAGATCTGCACTTTGCGAACGTGCCCAAATGGAAGCGGTCGAGGCGGTTTTGAGAGACTTTCAGCGTTTTCTACGTTTGTAAGCCGGGAAAAGGAAACACTCGAAACTTTTCTTGAAAGCTCTATACCACCCTTCAGATGGGAATCCTTTTAAACTCGTTGTGGGGCGTGCCTTTAACTACTAAAGAAGTATAATAAACACTAAATCGGCATTTGCCGTTGATTAATCCCTTTTTGGGATGCGGCACGCATTCTACTTCCATTTGTACATTCGTAGTGGCGTTTGAATGCGATGTGGCCTATACAATGACTTGCGGGGGCCAGCCGATGTACAAGTCAGTGTTTTTATCCTCCCAGACAAGTCTGGTACCAATTAACCGACCCCGGAGGGATGGAAGGCTTGGTTGGCCCGGGCGACGTACGACCCAAGATTCGATTTCACCACCGTGGTAAGGAACGCTACTTGCCACTGCACCGCTTCCGCCCCTAGTGCTACAAGTAAAGGCATTGGAGAATACATTTAGCTTGGAGATGGTTTTATAAGTGAGCCAGTGGACGGTTAGTGATTCTATCTTGAAGAGTTCCATACTTTGGCGTGGTATAGATTGACGAGGTTCGATCCTATGAAGTGAACACACGCTTCCTGTAATGTTCTCAGCTTCATTCTTTTCAAATCTTGATAATATTAGCTTATTGACTTCATTCAGTGAATTTTTACATATCGGGTATTCACTTCCATGCGGAATCTCAAACGTTTCATTCCTCTTGTTTCTCAGTATGCAGCTTTCTCCATATTTGTTTTTCAGTATGCAGCTTTCTCCATATTTCAGTTGTCTGAGAAAATCTGTGTTGCGGCTTTCCAGTGCTTCCCTTAGCCTTCGTAAGCGTTCACTTCCAACATTCAGAATTCAACGTCCGTCGTCGGGTGGACGAACGTGCTTTACAGTAAACTCAGAGCAAGTCACGTGTTCAAGTACGATGTACTGGAGAGACTGTCCAGGGTAGTAGCGGAGAGATCGATTCGCTTACCTAACTCACAATGGTTTGCAATCCATGCTGCTGCTTCAGCCTGAAGGACAGCGCCGTGATGATCGGCATCTGGACGCTGGTGGGTTCAATTCTGCCCACTATTTCGAATGTGTTGTGTTATGAAACGCCTTCTAGGTGTACTCGATAGCGTCACTGTTTCTGTTTGGTTGGCAGACCGGAGTTCTAAACCATTGTCGCTCGGTGACCATGTCCCAAGCGAACCTCCAATGCGAGTGGGATTGCCCATGTGTCGGCTCGTCGACTGCCAGGACTACCAGAATCATTGAAGGTCTTCATTTTTCGCTTGTGGAGCATCGGAGGGGGAGCGCTTTGTGGCCCGACGTCCGCCAGTCTGCCAACCAAACAACAGTATCTATTCTGCAGTTCACTAAGTTAAGCGCTTTTAGGTCTTTTCAATAGCGCAACTCGGTATAATGGGTTGGCAGATGGCGGCTATCAAGTATGAGAAAGATCGGGCCGCAAACACTCTCCTTCCTAACTATAACACCTACGGAAAGTACGACATTCCGTCCTACTACGAGTCCTACTGGCAAAGCCCCGAGGAGCGTTACTATACAGGTACAGAGTGAATCCCATTCAGGTTTCACTGGTTTTTTTTGTCAAGAATTCGATGCGCTCGCATGCATCATATGTCTTCCCTCCTAGCCTGGGTCTCATGTACCATCCAAAGAGATTCTAAACCCTCCATAGGTGTTGCTGTTTCACGCAATCAAATTCCGGTATTGATTCATGGCATCAAAGGCTCAGAAATCATTGCGAGGGTGGGGCTGATTCATGTGTCGTTGAGTCATCGCTGGTGTGGGTATTTGCTTGGGGCGCCGTCTTACATAACACCAGCGGACAAATATTGCGGGCCAGGTTCGAAGGATGGTTAGCCCCGAAACCAAGGCTGGGAGACAATCCTTGAAAATCTTTCAATGGCGCAGCATCGTTCAGTTTGTTTCAGGTCTCTTCGTCATCCAGATTCTATGTCTCATTGCGGCGTTTTTCCTATTGTTCGCATCTGTGGCACTTATCTATGGAGTCCATACGGTAATCCTC